TGTCACCGATCCATCAACTTGCAAAGTTAGACCTATCATCAGTTGTAAAGGCGGACCTACGGTTAGAACTACGTGGTTTCTAAACCTTATTTTTACTCAGGTGCTCAAATTCATACCAACCCATCTATCCAATACCCAAATGTTCCTAGATCACCTACGTTGCGCGAAACCAAACAACTCGCACGTAATGGAGTCATTTGATGTTACCTCACTCTATACAAACGTATCAAATGACTCTGCAATGCAAGCCATTTTCGAACTTTTAACTGAAAATGAACAAAAAGTAAACATGTATGGCTTCACAATTCAACAACTAATGACCCTCCTAAAACAATGTCTTAGTTGTTCAATCTTTCGGTGGTCGGGAAAATACTTCACACAACTCAGGGGGTTAGCCATGGGTCAACGCTTAGCACCTAGTCTTGCCATCGCTTTTATGTATAAGGTGGAAGCTCCAGTTCTTCACCGCCATTGCTCTACTGCCGGTATATAGACGATTGTTTCATTGTCTGTTCCACACAAGAGGAAATGGACAAATGTTTTGAAGTCTTGAACGGACAGTCAGAGCATATCAAATTTACGCGAGAAAGTCCAAACGGGAGCTGGCTTCCATTCCTAAACATCCAAGTAAAGCTTTTGGATAGTGGCTATAGTACAAAATGGTATCGAAAACCAAGTAACAAAAACATTTTGGTCAATTACCTTTCCTCTCATCCTTCACACATGAAAAAATCGCTAATTAAAAACATGTTTCGAACGGCTAAAAATGTGTGCACAGGAGAAGAGGAAAGGAACGAATCATTAGACTTGGCACGAAAAATTGCCATTTCCAACGGCTACAAAACATCTGCTACTTGGGAATATTCAAAAAGTGGAATTAGGTCACGAAAGAACAATACTCCGCACCTGAATAGAGTTCCCTTCAAACTGCCATTTATATCAAACGAAATTAGTAGCGCGGTTAAAAGGTGCCTAAAAAGATGCGGTCTTGAAAATTCCGTGGTAGTTATGAAACCCACCTCCCACCCTACGCCATCAGCTGATCCGCAATAGACTTTATGATCGATTGTGCAACACCAAAAACTGTATGATCTGCCCTAACGAAAAAGAGGGGGATTGTATGAGATCGGGCACAATTTATTTACTAACATGTAAAACATGCGGGGAAGAATATATAGGCGAAACGGGTGACCACTTTTCATCCGCATAGAAGAGCATCTAGAAGTAATCTAAATAGATAAAACAAAACCTTTAGGTTTACATAGGGCACAAAAACACAACAACAACGATTTTGATGTGACTGTCACAATCCTAACGCAGGAATCAAAAACATCCACGCGCAAGACTCTTGAGGCATTTTGGATAAACGCCCAAAATCCCGAAATGAACCGGAAGGACGAGTGCGTCACCATCACACAAGATCTCGCGCCCTTTCTTCGTTTGATCTTCTGACTTGACCTAGGCAGCATATAAATAAGACCATTCGAATCATTCAAATAGTCTAATACTACATACGCCCAGGCTCTGAAGAAGGCGGGTCGCCGAACTTCTACGACTAATTTACCAACCTCGCGTCAGCTAATCAAGATAAGTTTTCTCGATTTTCATATGACAATTAATTATGCCGAGGTTTATAGAAAGTCGAACTTTTGAATGGTTTTTCATCAATTATACAATTCCTTATATACACTTTTCTTATCTAAAACGACTTCTGACCACACGACCAGGTAGTTTTGCCTTTCTAATACATCTTCACCGACTTCTTGAGCAATAATTGAATTGGAACGTTAGGCAGTTTTTTCCCACACGAAACCCAATAAATCACTGAAAGCACTCGTATAATTAGTGCAATATTGAAACTGCTTATGGCAGCCTTTACTACGATTCACTTGGGTTCAACTGTCATATGTGTATGGTTTGGAATAGTATTAGTAAATTGGAATAACAAAGGGCAAATGTAAAGATCAGCTTTCATTTGAAAGTGATCACTCGGATGTTGGTTATGTGTGAATGTGTGCATCATATTGTGAAAATAAGAGTAAGTTCAAAATGGCTCTCAAAAGGACTCGCGCATTGTTTCCGTAGATTCCAAGCACTGAGTTACGTCAAACTTTTTAGTTAACTCATAGCGTTTGGTGTTGATTAATTTGTAGTGAAGATAGATATAAAGTTAGCCAACGGTAACTGAGCTTCACTTTCTACGATACGCTAATGACGACAACCCGGGATATTTTCTTAGCGCACTGGGGTCGACAGATTGTTGAAGCATTATACCACACAAATTACGTTCTCCGAATCACCATACTAAAATTCATCAAAAGGATCAGAAATCGCCGAGCTTGAAGGGTATCATATCATAATATTGTCTATCCTCCGCTGAAAGTTGCAAATTCTTATATTCATCCAACACATGGAAGTCCAGGGATAAAGCGTTTACGTGACTGCATAGATGACAGAAGTCACTTAGTGATAGAGCTCGAGATAAAAAATATACATATATCTAAAAAGTCAAAATTACTACTTAGAGAAGACAGAGCAACATTCATCCATTGCAGGAGCAAAAAAATATACCAATTATTTGAACACTGACTTTCACTCGACTTTCAGTCTCGACAAAGTAATTAATACTGTTGAAAAGTCATCACAGCATCATGTGCCAGCCAACGAAACATCGACGGTCAAATACCTATTCTCTATAGCAACTTTGTGTCGGCTCAGTAATTTTTAGGATATTGTCTACATGTTGTTTACTATGGTATCCACTCAGTAATAGGTTCCAATAATGTTTTAGAGCATTACCATTCTACAAAATGCTACGAAATGTGGATAAATAGTGATTTTGATTTTCTTCTTCTAATGAAGCACGAAGAAACCACAAAAGATATGGCTTCTCACTCGGGAGGTCGTGGTTCTCCTAAAGAAGTGCCTAGGCCACTCATTTTCACATGGTCCGGGAATGATTTTGCGCAAAATCAGAAGGTTAGCAATTATACAACGACTAGCTCCAACCCTTGCTATAGCCTTTATGTCTGAAGTCTAGGCCCCAATAATCGATCTCCTGCCGTAACTCTACTGTGGCTATAAAGATGACTGTTTTGTCGTCTGCTCAAAGCAAGAAGAGATGGACAAATGCTTTGATTTGCTGAATAGTCAGTCGGAGCACATGAAATTCACCCATGAGAAACCGAATGCAAATTGGCTTCCATTTTTAAACGTTCGTGTCAGCCTATACGAAAACTCTTGCAACACAATGGTACTGCAAACCAGGCAACAAAATGATTTTGGTTCAACACCTGTTTTCGCATCCTCCACACACAAATACGCACTTGTGAAAAAAAACGTTTCGAAGAGCTGTTTATGTGTGCACAAGAACAACACGGAGCCGAATTCCTCAGCTTGGAGTGAAAAATAGCCATCTGCACTGGCTACGATACGGTAGGTGCTCCTCAAGTTAGATTTAAAATAAATTTGACGCTCTAAAGGGAAAGTCTGACGACAACAAGGTTCCCTTCATCTTGCACTTTAATTATAACAAAGTAAACGCAGCTATTGAATGCTGTCTAAAGAGAGCAGGTTTGGATAAATTGGTAGCAATGATTGAGATACCCTCAAATATACTAAAGGGCCAATTAATCCGCAATCAACTATGAGACCGCCTCTGCGGAACAAAAGACTGCCAAGTTTGCCAAACGGTAGAGAAGACGACTGCATGAGATATGGTACATTTTACATAATCTTTTGCGAGGCATGCGGGGATGAATACATTGGAGAAACGGACAGACCACTCTACATCTGTTTACAAGAACATCTAGCTTGATTACGGAACTTTGACGGAAAAGCTCCACTAGGCGCTCACAGGAAACAAAAACAGCGAAGTTCGATGTCAAATTCACAGTTCTCGCACAGGAGCCAAAGACATGCGTGTAAGGCTTTGGATGCCTTTTGGATACCAAAGAGGAGTGTCTCGTAATAACGCGTGACCTTGCACCATACTTCAGGCTGATCTTCCCGACCCATGCAGACACAGTCTCACTTGCGCACTGACTTTAAGAGGCTGGTCCTCAATTAATATTGGAAGATCTAAAGTATCTTAACGGTGAGAGTTCTGAGATGAAGCTTTTCACTTTGCGATCCAAAATATTTGTTTCTTAGATTTTCTGTCAAGATTATGGAGCCCTTTGATCGATATATCTGACAATTATTGTTCGCGCCAACATGTCATGGGTTTGTTATGGGCACTTGTAGAGTCCGATACACGTGTTTCGGCCTTGGCAGCCTTGTCAGTCGGGATAGCTCTTCGCCTTTAGCCAATTCTCTCAGAGGTGCTCTATCCCCCTACATAGAGTAGGCGACGACGTACGACTTGAATGCTTCGTTAAGCGAATAAATTAGTAGGTCGGCAGTAGTGCGCTCGATTGCTCTTGGCTAGTATTTATGTATATTAAACCATTCTCGTTTCGTGTTTTCTTAAGACCAAGCCCAAATAATAACTATCAGATATATTGAAATTAGCGCGCTCTTGAGAAAACACTCGAACTTACCGGTTTCTGAATGGGTAGAGTGCAAGCTGATTTGATCTTTCCACATTCTAAAAAAGGTGAGACGCCGAAACGTTGGCCACTGTATTATGATAAGTTGTGTTACTGCAATGTTGTACGTGCTACAGTACTGTGTATTGTACTGCATCGCGACGCTCAGTAAACACTATTGCTACCACTTCGGAACAGCTTATCAGAATAAAACTACCGATTTTACTTTCCCAATCGCTCGCCCTTGTGATTATTAAGTGCAAAGAAAAACGACTAGCTTGACTGATAACTACTGCTGCGCAGCAGTGTGGCGTGGCCTTGCCGCTAGTTTGGACTTAGTATATTGCCATTGAAATGGCAAGAAATTCAGTGACTATTTCTAGATGAGAATCAACTTTACGTTGCCTCAAATACCAAAAAATTTCGCTATCATATGAAAAAGTTGCTGTTTCAAATAACATGTTTGAGCTTTGCTTCAGCCGGGATTCGATCCGAGAACTCACTCATTTTGGGAGCGTATGCTATCCGCTGCGCCACCGACGCTGAATAGAGTTGTTTATTCTGATTCGACTCATATTTGATTCACACCACCAAAAATTCTCATTAGTCCGAGAACCTTGCTGAATTTTTGCGTAGCTGGTGGCAGAACCATGCGGCGAGAGCGGCGTGCTCAAATGACAATAAGATAGTATTTTAACGAGATTTAGATTTTTGTCGTAATCTAATAAGATTTAGGTTTTTATCACCGTCAAAGAAAGCTTTGTCATTCGCAGATTTCCCTTGAAGGAGTTCAAGACAATAATAAATCAAGGAGTTGCGGGTCAAAAACAAAAATGTGCGTTGTGATACGATGCCAGATTATTCGGAGAGCCTTTTCACTAACACTAAACTGTGAAATTTGGAACTGTTACGAAGCTGTGAACGAGACTTTGTCCTACTGTCTTATGTGTGATAACTTTTTATATTATCCTTAAACTCTGCCATGGTCATTATTTATCACCGCAACTTAGAACAACAGCAGCACTTTATTACGTCTTTTTTTTTTAATTTTAACCGAAAAACCATATGTTTACGAAAAGGACACTCGAGCTTTTATTTTCCAATTTTATGCTTTCTTATTCATGATACCCAAGTCTACTCATATTTATGATTCATTTCCTCCTATAAAGGATAAAGGGTAAAGCTCTTCGCATTGATCAATCTCTGAAGGATGCGCCTTGCATTCGTCTTCAATTTTCAACTTCGCTTAAGGTGATTTGATGCATATCCGGCCTTTACAATGACTCGCAGTGGCTTCCCACTGCACCCAGTCAGTGATGCTTATCCTCCCAGGCAAGTCTGAGGACAGTCTCGTACCAATTTACCGACTCCGGAGGGATGGATGGCCTAGTGAGCCTTGAGCGCGAGATCGAACCATTGACTCGTGTGCGACGCAGCGCACCTTTAACCACTGCGCCAAGCACGTTCTTCGTCCTACACACTACTGCGAGTAAATACACAGTCAAATAGTGAGCTATGCTTTATTTTGTACCTCTGGAATCAAATATTACGATGCAAATTTCACATCTCCTCATAAATAAGAAATACTGAGCACACCTTTCTTCCCTTTCAAGATCAATAATATTTCTACTATCTCGTATACTGCGCATTGAACATCATCTATAAACGAGCCTTTCCCACGGGGAATGAGCCGTAGTTAGGTAGTCTATGCATTTCCACTCCTCTCTATCTTTTGTTTGTAGCAATGACAAGGAGAACGTCGGTGACAAAGCCAGGAACATCAACGAAACAACATGTCGCCTCTCGCGTAGTGATCTGGGTGATCTCCGTTTTGTCAATTATTGAGGTTTTGCTTAGAAAGTATTTTTGAGTGAGATCTTCAGTGCCTGATTCGCAATCTACTGACGGAGGATCACATCAGTATCTTTTCCAGATGAAAAGCTCATTCAGCCGAGAACAATTTGTAAAAGCGGCAATGCCAACACGTCCGATTAAATGGAATAAGAAGAAGCGTAGGGTTTGTTCGCAATGATGTTATGTGCAAAAACTTTTGTGTATATACTGTCATTACAAAAGTATCACTAACAGCTTCCACCACGGAAGCGCAAGCCTTTGAATAACGACGGTACTTCGATAGTCACTACCAAAGCGGTATGATTTATCATTAGCGAAATACCTCTTCAAGAGAACCCGTAAAGCTTGCTCTTATGTGATAAAAATCATCCTTCTAAATTATTTGTCTATTTCCATTCAGCTTCCACGTTAATCGACTTGTCTTATGAACAGCTTGTGAAGGTCAACCACTCATGTTGTTAATCTACTGTTTAACACCGATTAGCATGGCATGGCGAAAAAAATGCAGTGTGATAATTTTCTTACGCCTCTTATCTATTGTAAATTGAGATTTGAGATCTTGAAAGCTGAGTTTAATCACTTTGGGTCATATCGCCTAGTAAAGTTTTTCTTTAAAGTGGGGTATAAACCGATTTTAATTGACATACAGACCGAACTACAAGCTCGTTTACGTAATCTAGCACATACTTTACATAAGATTAGTGCATGAAGTCTGACTAAAAAGAGGTCTGAGACAGTCATTTTGAGATTTTGGCCCTAGTTACTCACCAAAGTGCTGATGCGCTATTGAAGTGCATCACAACCTCGGTCTACCCCTGGCCGTTTAGGAAAATGAAAAAACAAATTGGGGCAACTTTCAACCATTTATGAGAACAACTTCATCTAAGCATGTGCGCTAGAATACGACTTTGCTACTTGCAACATTCTACAAGTAATTTAGAACTTATCCCCTTTAGAGTGTTGATAGACTCCGTTCGCTCGCAGGACATAAACAGTAATACCCGTATCACCTGCTGCTCCGCTGATCGTCGAGAGCCCCAAGCATGCATCAGCAATGCCTCGATTTTTCCGCATCGAGTGCAAAAGTGCCCAGTGGGTCCTCCTGGCTCTGCGAATTCGTTGAGAGTCGTGTCTTTACTCTAGGTTTGTCGTAAATAAATAGTACCATCGGGTCGGCGGCTCTCTTGTAAAGCGCTTGACATTCCGAGGGATCCAGTAGGCAACGCCTCTCATCCAGCAGTTGTTGTTACAGAGCATTACGTGTCCGGCCCACCTTATATTGATAGCCCAGCGTGTAGGACAAAATCTCTAATCTCCGATCATTGACATGATCCGAACTTCGGATCCTTTCTCTTATTTGCGAGATTTGGGAAACTCCTAGAATCGACCTCTCGATTACTCAGTAATGTTAAGTGATTTTTCATCCTGCTTACATAGCCACTAGGTTTCTGCTGCCTACGTTGAGGTAGGGATAACCGCTGAGTTAAAATTGTGGACATTATTAGAACCATTCGGATGTTCTTATAAAGCTAATACAAATATGTCAACTTCGACGGGAAGAACCCCGCGCAAAGCTTTTGTTATAGAGATTCTTAATAGCAGGAAAGTGTTAAGAGTAACTGAACCTTTTAAAATACCCAAATAAAAATGAGGAGTTCATTTTATGACTGTGTGAGTTTCACCTGTTTACCTGTTGTCCCGTTGATCATCGAGTGACTCGAGCGGGTATCAGCAACACTTCCATATTCCCCTATCGCGTGCAAGAGTAGCCCAGTGGGCACTCCTCGCTCTAAGGATTTACTGAGCATCATATTTTTCTTCTATATCTTGTAAAGAAATCAGGCCAACGGGTCGATGGTCTTCCTCTAGATCGCTTGATGTCCCGAGTAATCCAGTCGGTAACGACTCTGGTCCATCGGTTGTTGTTGAAGCTTATCACGTGTCCGGCCCACCTTATTTTCGATATCTTGGAGTGTACAACGGCGTCTCTGATCTTCGATCGTTGACGTAGGTCGGAAATTCAGATTCTTTCTGCCATTTGCGGGATACGGGATACTCCTACCGTCGACCTTTCGACTGTGCGTTCAATAACACCAAGTGATCTTTCATCCTGCTTACGCAGCTACCAGGTTTCTGCTGCATGCGTTAGGGCAGAGATAGTCGTCTAGCCCAAGAGGTGGGCACGGAGTCGGATGTTCTTTGTCCTTTTATTACATTTCGATGCTCTTAAACGTTCCATAAGCCTCTCGTTTCCTCCTGATCAACTTTGGAGCTAGGTCGTTCATCATGTTGATTTCACGACCTAGATAGACGTAACTGGAGCATTCGGTCAGATATTGTCGTTCCGTTGAGCGTGAATGGGACATTCAAAACCCATTCGTTCCTCATGAACATCTTTTTCGTGAAATTTAGTTGAGAACCAATCTTTCCACAGGCGTTATCGAAATCGGTCAACATTCGTTCCGCTTGACTGATGTTTGGTATTATGAGAACGATATCGTCAGCAAAGTGAAGACGGTTTAATTGTCGGCCGTCAATCTTCACTTCCATATCGTCTCATTCTGATGTTCCCATGATGTTTTGTAGCGTGGTAGTGAAAGTTTTGGCGAAATTGTATAGGCTTGGCGAACCCCTCTTCTTACGTCAATGGTGATATTGTTGTAGAATGGAGATATTTTGGTCTGTGAAATCTTTATAAAGCTCATGAAGGATCATTATGTACCAGTAAGGACGCACTGGTTATCCAGAGCCTCCACAGCAGCCTCTGTTTCCAGTGGATCGAAGGCTTTTTCAGATCGATGAAAATCAGACAGAGTGGTTGTTTGTACTCTCGTGAAACCTCTATGAGTCTTGTAACCATATGGATGTGGTTCATGGTATTAAATCTCTTTCGGAGTCCTGATTGTTTGCATGTCTGTCCTTCGTCCAGTGTTCTGTGAATCCTGTTTAGAATGATTCGAGTAAAGAGTTTATAGACAATGACAGCAAGCAGACTGGGCGATATTTGCCTATGTCGTGAAAGTCCCCCTTTTTGAACAACAATACGGTCTTGCTGATTTCCATTGAGTGGTGACCTTGCATTCTGACAGGTAGAGAGTGAAGAACCTAGCCAGGGTGTTGATGAGAAGTGGCGGTAGCCTCTTCAAGTGCCCTGGTCTAACCCTGTCGGACGAGGTGTTGTTCTGTTCTATACTGACGATACAGCATGTCGGATTTCGGAAGGTAGGACCAGTGGAACGACATATTCATCCTCTTTCATTTCATGTGACGGTAAGAGGACATGGCTAGCAAAGAGATCCGAGTAGTGCTGGTGGATAATTTTCTCCATAAGCCTTCTGGAAGCTGTAGGTGTGCCGTCAGGGCATCGGAGTGCAATCATCTTGGTCTTATAATTGGCAAAGCCTCTCTGGACTTTGCTAATGCCCTTCCCAGCTTCTGCAGCTTCAACCATAACTGCCACTCGTCTCTCTCTGAGGTCTCCGCTTATCACTTCTCTGCACCGCTTCGCAATATCGGACGTAAGGTTTTGGTTCCCTGTAGCTCATGCAATTCCACGTTGACGTATCAGCTCGAGTGTCTGCGGAGACAAGCGTCTCTTTGTGACTTTAGGACTCTCGGCTTTCACAGCGCTAACTTGAAGATATTCAACGAGCCGATCGTATCCTTCGTTGATGTTGTCGACAACGGTA